AAGATCCGCGCCTCCAACAACGACACGGACGACGTGGCCGACGCCTTCCTCAAGGGCCTCCACGACGCCAACCACGGCGGCACCCTCTACCTGCCCAAGGGCGAGACCTTTGTCATCGGCAAGCCCCTCGACCTGACGTTCCTCAACAACGTCCACGTGCGTCTCGACGGCGAGATCAAGTTCACCAACGACACGCCCTTCTGGCAGGCCAACTCGTTCCGCCACCCCTTCCAGAACAGCATCATGTTCTGGAAGTGGGGCGGCAAGGACGTCAAGATCTACGGCGAGGGCGTCCTCAACGGCAACGGCCAGCGGTGGTGGAACGAGTTCTCCGGCCTCGAGATCCTCGACCCCGCCAACGCCTACCTTCGTCCCATTCTGTTCTACGCCGAGAACGCCACGGGTCTGCACGTCGAGGGCATCCACTTCAAGGACTCGCCCTGCTGGACCACGTTCGTCGTCACCTGTAAGTTTCTCCGTTCGCTGCCTCGGAGGTGGTTCGCGAGTCATCTTGCTGACGCTTGTCTTCTTTTTCTTCCACTTTGTAGCCAAGGATATCTCGTTCAAGGACGTCGCCTGCACGGCCGAGTCCAACAACGCCACTGCTCTCCCCAAGAACACCGACTTCTTCGACTCCCTGAACGTCGAGAAGGTCCGCGTCGAGAGGGCCTGGGTCAACATTGGCGATGACTGCTTCTCGCCCAAGTCGAACGCCACTGACATTCACGTCGACACCATGTACTGCAACGGTAAGAAGAAGCAACGATGACTGGTCACGGCAAGTCGAGATGAAGCTGACTGACACCATCTTCAGGCACCCACGGGCAGTCCATGGGCTCCATTGGCCAGTACCAGGGCGAAAAGTCCTTCATCCAGGACGTTGTCATTGAGAACGTCTGGATGCTCAACGGCCAGGTAAATCCACGTCCGCTGTTTCATCTCTCATGCCAGTTACCTGCTGACACCCAGCGCAGCACAGCGCCCGCCTCAAGTCGTGGGCCGGTGAGAAGGCCGGCTACGGCTTCATCAACAACGTGACGTTCCGCAACTTCTGGAACGCCAACAACGAGTACGCCGCCTTCCTCGACAGCTGCTACTTCCAGATCAACTCGACGACGTGCGCGCAGTTCCCCTCTAAGGTCGACATCTCTAACGTTCTCTTTGAGAACTTCACCGGCACCACGAGCGGCAAGTACGGCCGCGCCGTCGCCCGCCTGACGTGCAGCTCGAGCCCCAACGCCGTATGCGAGAACATTCGCTTCAAGGACTTCAACGTTCAGAGCCCTGCGGCGGCCCGCCCGTCATCCTGTGCGACGGCATCAAGGACGGTGTCGGCGCCCCGTGTGTCTCGGCGACGAGCGACGAGGGCAAGCCGCGCTCAAGGCCAAGTGCACATCGCCTCTGGCGGAGCTGCCTGGTCGGCCGTGGTAGGGGTGTGGTTCGATAAAACGAGAAGCTGGACTGCCCCGGCTTCCTTGCGAGGCCAGACTGGGTGTGCCAAAAAAGTGAAGCCAGCAGGTGGAGGCTATTCACCCTGTATATATTGAGCATGGGCATGTATCGCCCTGTTGTGAACATAATGAAGCAAGATTGGAATTCTAAGCAGAAATCGAGCCCAGCATCTGTAGTCTTGTGAAAATGGCAAATCATCAAATGTACCCGAAAGAAAAAACGAAGAGCTCCGCGTCGCCTCGAACATGCACCTCTACCCACACACAACTAGTCGCTCGACTTGCCTGGCATGAATCGTGACAGGAAAGAATTCGTCTTCTTCTTCTTCTTTTTCTTTGGGTCGCCATCGTCAAGGATTTCCCGAGATCCGCTGGCGCTGTCGTTGACATAGTCCGGGCTCTGCGTGCCATCGCGCTGCATGTCGAGCCTGTCCATCTCCTGCTTCGTGTCCAGCTGATTCGTGTTGTCGTTCATGACCTGCTGCGCGAGCGAGACGGTATCGGTCCGCTGGGGCGGCGGCGGCACGCCCTCAATCTGAGCTGGCGGCGGCTGGTCCTGGATGAACAGGTCTTTGACAGCGCCTTCGCCGAAGAGCCTGTCGTAGACGGCCAGCGTGGTGCCGAACTCCTTGCTGCCGCTGACCTTGATGGCGTCGAGCAGCTCGAGGGCGTAGGTCTGGCAGTTGTTCGTGATGAGTTATACCGTGGCTGCCTGTTCCTGATGCTCTGGATGACCGATTCGCCTAACGGGTCCGTGAGCTAGTGCTCCCTCCTCGCCATCACAATCACGAGGGGCGAAAAGGACTCACCGGCGCGGCGGACAGCGTCGTCGTTGAAGCGTGTCTGGCCGACTTTGAATGTGCGCCACCCCTCTCTGGTGACCTTTTCATTCGTGTAAATGACATGGAAATTCTCATCCTACACTGCGTCAGCGAAACGACCGAGCCTCAGGTGACGCAGATGGAACGAGGCCGTCCCTTAGACTCACCATCCACAGCTGATGCGCAAATTCGCCTACGAGTACGGCCCAGTGCTGCGTAGGATCCGGGTACGAGTTGATCTTGTCCGTGATCATCTTGCCCAGGCCCGTGTCCTCGGCGAACCACTTGCCGGCGAACCCGCCGACAGGGTGCCATGCTACCTCCACGGGACGCGATTCGCCGTCGACGCGTGGTTCCGTGACAGGCACGACATTGGGCTGCTGGCCGAGGCCGGCGGCGCGCTTCAGTGCTAGCTCGCCCTTGGTCAGGTTCTTCTTGCTGTTGTGTCGCGTCAGTACGCAGATCCAGGGTCATTCGTGCTCGCCGCAAACGGCACGACGATGTGCTGAACGGGGCGTTATGGCGGGGGTTGCGGGGTGTGGCCAAGGGAATTGGGGGTTTCGCGCTCACAGAAACTCGGCGACCTTGTCCCGTTTCCTGTCCTCCCCATCCACCTCTTCCACTGGCTCTTGCGACATGAGGAAGCGTAGGGTCGCGACAAGAGGTTCAAGATGTTGCAGCGTATCAATTGGAGGGGAGGGTTGCGGTGCCGGCAGGGCAGGTTGCTTATGGGCGATGAATTGGTGTAGGGCGCAGTGCGGCTCCAACAGGTCTTCAACGAGGCAGTCCCAGTCGAGTTGCGGCCCTCAGTTCAGTTGGGCGGGTGGAAGGAGGGGCTCGCGTTCGCATTGCGACTACCCGCACGCTGACCCCCCCCCTCCCTCAGCTGAGGCTGTTCGGGCAGCCGCGACGAACCCGAATAGGCCGGGTGCTGTTGCTGGCTGTAACTGGGCAAGACCCCCGATGACATAAGCGTCCAAGTGCCGGATCCCAGCGCCTCCCACAACTTTCAGGGTCCAGCGGCCAGGGGTACCGAAGTGACGACATGGAGGCAAGACGCGACCCCCCAGATCCTACGAAGGAGGCCTCAGCAAAGTCACCATTTCATCAGCGCCCTTTGTCTCACAAGATATAGGTGATTCTGTCTCACTTATTTTAAGTATCAAAGTCCCTTATCTTGTTTGCCGAAGAACGATCACTCCTCTCCTCCTCCTCTACCCTACCCCAGGCAACACCAACGCTCAGCATAGAGTCCGACTTCATCGACCGCCTCCACCGCCTTCAACTGAATGTAGGTACCCAACGGGAGATGGACTTTGTTCCTGTGATGTATGTCAAGTGGCATGTTCAACCGAAACTGCACCGAGCGCCATATTTTTCTCGCTGCCCGTGGTGCAAGGGGAAGAGTCATCTGGCTAGGTTTGTCGAGACCGAACTTCGTTCTGAATCCCATTTCGTGTTGTTGTTGTGTGAGCCGTTGATTAGGTTTCCCCCAGTAGCAGAACGTGATCTGATTGCGTATGAGATATGTTTGTCATGTTTGGCAGTAGAGAATCGGGCAGCATGGTCGCTCTCAGTGACTCCCGGCGGAGAAATTGGTTTAGTCAACGGCTTACGTCGAAGACAGGAGGTAAGGTGAGTGACGCCGGCAAGATTATCAGAGGCGGTCGTACCGATCACGGCTTGCTCTACATGGCATTCTTCTGGCAGGGGTACGCGCCAGAAAATGCCCATGTCCCCGGAGCTGTGCATCTTGGGTTTGATCGTTTCGTGTTACTTCATCCACTCATAAGATCTTGATATGTTAAGAGAGGGACTAGAAGAGCCTTCATATGAAATACCTAGCGGACCAGTGTCAGTGCTTGATTTGGAGCATAGTCAAAAGGCCTTCCACTCGTGGTCTGCAGGCCATAACTATAAGGTAGGGGGTTGCAATACATCTGAACTCTGGCCCCCCGCAGCTTGGAGGGCCCTCCGCAGTCCTAATATAAACTCTCCCGTAGCCTCAGCGCCTAAGTAGCCCCCTGCGCTGTGGCTCTACAGGGTCTCCTGACAGCCAGCTTCTCAGGGACAAGCTCCTTGCCGTGATAAACCCGGAGAGCGTTCTTGCCCCAGTTGTTGAGGGGAGCACAGCTTGTTACCATTTTTACGAGTTTCATCGCAGCTGCTACGGATTTTCTTTTTCCCCTTATATCAAGAACAGCGGTTCTTGCGATGGCGGGCCTCAGCTTGGACAAGCCCGATGTCACAATGTCCGCTAGGGCCGACATTAGACGAGATGCACATGCGAAGAGCAGCAGCACAGTCAACCTCCATCCGAGAAGAGTACACATGATGGGTCAAGGAAGGGATCATGGCAGCATCAAAGCCTATCATGTGCATGTAGAATGGATGGAGGGAAAATGTATCTCAGGAGATGCCTTTATAGACGAAGGAAGCCAGAGAATCTGCCCAAAGGCAACGGCCGAAAGTTTTGGTCATCCTTTCCACAACTAAGGTAATCACTATTTACTCCATGTTCTTGCAAGGCTCGAAATCTTCTAGCATTTCTAGATTTCTTTTTAAAGAACGTTGTAGATCATCAAAAGTGGCATTATGGGAGCATACAGGTCCCGGGCGCAGGCGCACCCTGATAGTCCGCCAAAGCCGCCTCGTGATACCAAAGAGATGCTGGGAAGGGCTACGGTAAAAAGTTGTGGGCTTAAGCGTAGTGTCTCTGAAGACTGTACACTATCCTATCAGGCCTCAAAAAGTCATTGTGTTGTGGGAATTATGTGGCAACCAATTGACAGTCTATGATGGACTAGATCTTGAGCCGCTAAATAATTTTGCAGCTTGAGTGGTCCTCTGGTCAAGAAAGCGTGGGTGAAAAGACAATGCGTCCTAGGTACGGTGGCTTTCGTGAACTGGAAGTCTGGAAGCTCTTCCCCCCCTCTCACATCGCCAGCCCTGCCGACGGGACTGCCGCTGAGATGTGATGTCCAGACCCCAAGTGGCTGAGTTAGTGCTCTGTGCCACTGGAAATGTACTTGTAACGCCTGACGCACGGTACCTGGAGGACCGTTGATCGCACATGCAGGTCTGTGCTTTCTCCCCCACCAGAAACGTAAACCACCGCGCACACCATCACGCTGTTCCGGCAATGGGCAACAGCCAGTTTCTGGCATTGCCACGGGAGCTTCGCGATTTGATACTCGGTTATGCTATCGCTATCGGGCGGCCACCACCCAGCGGTGCCTCGGCGACGCTCAATCGAGTGCGTACGCTGGCTCATGATGAAAATGACCATCTCGAGAGAGCCAACCTGTTCTCGGAACGGTCCATTGACGCAACGGCCTGGAACAGCATCACCGTGTTGAACCTTCTCCTGACGAATCGCCAAATATGCTGCGAAACTCTAAAACGTGTCAAGGGTCCTCTGACCTACCGACTCGACCTCATGCATGTCTCTGGCTCTGGTATCTGGCCCACCTGGCTTGCAGTGCCTATCCGCCAACACCACATTGACACTCTCCATGTTGCGCTCCGCATATCCGACCTCCCCGATGAAGACGATCCCGTCTGGAACAATACGCTCAAGCGGAGCTCGTTGTCTCAATCCCATGGCCACGCGTCTTACCTGAAGCACACCTACATATACCTCCTTGCCGGCTTCCTCCAGAAGGGCCCCCTCTCACATGCCGCGTCCCGCCGCGACTGCATAGCCGCGTACTCTGCCAACACCTTGATCCTTGACGTTGCGTCCCCGGAGCCCGGCACACAGGTCAACCTCATTCCTAGCTCCTTGCAGCTCCCCTCTGTGGACCCGGTCGCGGCCGCCGAGCGCCTGGCAAGTTCCCTGGCCCGCTGGATCCGCCACGCCCTCGACGGATCGGGGAACTTCCTCAATGGCCACATCCTCTACCAGGGCTTCGGCTCCATCCACATACGCGTAGACGGCGAGGAGCGCAAGATCTTTGACCTGACGGAACACTTCTGCCGCTTGCCGATCGACGCCGATGATGGGAGGTTCTGGCCGCTCACCTGCTTTCCGGACCGCGTGAGCTTCGAGGCGTGGGCACATGGCACGGTGGAGAAGCGCAAAGCGCGAGGGTTGTGGAATGAAGACGTCACGAGGCGATTGATCGAAGACGGCCAGCCGGAATGCGGATTGACGCTGCCCGGTCTGTGGATGGCGGTGTATGATGACCAGGAGTACCGGCCGCTATGGGGACCTGCTCATCGATGAAGGGTGCGGACTGTGCGCTTGCTGAGACGCTGAACATGGGAAGAAGTGGTCTTGAAAGCCCTCGACGAAGGTGGTTCTTATGTTCAATTCATGTATAGCCATTCGTACTCCGGCTGTAATCCATAAATAGCCTGGCATGGATGTTCAGCTAAAGCAGCATGTCAGGTTGAGTGCGTGAATACAACTAAAGCGTGAATTGGTCTCGCCAGCCTTCTGACAAGAACGGACAAGCGCCCTCGAAAATACAACTTTCTGGCGGCCACGACTCACAATACTTGGCAATCAAATCGCTCTTGCCGGCATTCTGGGCACATGCTGCAGCACATTATGAATCGCTTCATATTCTAAAAACAGGCTTACGTAGGGGCAAAATTGCAAAATATATGTCCGCGATGAGGATCGAACTCATGATCTTCGGATATCTAAGTCTGATGACTCAGTCATATTAATGAATATGAGACCGACGCTCTGACCAGCTAAGCCACGCAGACCTGGTTGATGGAGAGCGAAATTTGTATAGTACTTGATCACAAAGAGCAGAATGTCGGACAAGCGTCGTCACGATATCGTCTCTCCAAACTTCGTGTTTCTGACACGTCGGTGTTCCTTTTCGCAACACTTTGTACAGTGATGTACTTCTGACGCACTGTCAGATTCGGTGAAAGTGTACTTTGCCGACTGGTCTTGGATCTACATCTTTGCTCTCGCCGCTTGGCAAAAGCACAACTGTAACCCTGTGCCAAGTGAAATGGTGGGAAGAATGCCTGATTGCTGCACGGTATTTGATACATATATGACGACAATGTGAGGACTGCCCTCCCTCTTGCTAAGAAAATAGCATGTGCGGGCAGGAGCTGCTGCAGTCATCCCTGGGCCGCCGCAGGGGTCTGGCGAGCCAACCCAAGGACAGGTTTCTACTGCTGCAAGAAGGCGCAGCGTCGCGACAACAGACCCAGGTGTCCAACCCGCGCTCCCCCGAAGCTCGGTTGTCGTTGGGTCATGCCCACATTGTTGAACGTGTCTCAAGGTCCTGAAGACTTCAAAACGACTTGACAAACAGTACACGGTCGGCACATGACCACAAGCTACCGCGTCCGGCCGTCGCTTCCGTCACCGGGGCACACCGGCAGTCATCCGATTGCTCGACACCTCTCACCGACCCCTGTTTCTCCTTTCCAGTTGCCTGGTCGTGGCGCCGTCGCCATCATTCTTTTTCCCTTGTTCTTGCCTTCTTTCCTTCTCAAAGCGTCTCGCCTTGTGCGTCTGCCGCGGACACACATGCCTGCTATCACTCGGTTTGGTGTCGTGGCTGGTGCTGCATGTCCGAGCGTAAGCACTCTCTCCCAGTGCACCTCCCTTCTCCTCCCACCCCTTCCATGTGGGCCATCCTGGCTGTCTGTTGTTTTCCATCTTCGCGAGGGTTTCTCATCTCGTCGTTCGTTGCCATCATTATCATCATCATCTTGGGCCTTGTCTTAACCCCAACTTTCGTAACTCGAGTTGACGACTGGCCTCCTCTGGTTTCGGTCCTCCTTCGTTGGCGGTCAACTCGCCTGATCTCGGTGCATCCAGGCGCAGGGGATCTCCATCGAGACTTGACTCTCGCGACTCCGAACCTCGCCCTTTCAGCGACCGATCTGGATTTGCTTCGTGTCTTCCACGTCTGCATCCTGGCTCATTGGCCGTTACGCGGCAGCAAATCCATCGAAACGCCTCGGGAAACATGGCACGATTGGAAGGGGTGTCCAGGTGCTCCAGCGAGTACTCCTCCCAGTCGAGATCGACCTTCGTCTCGTCGAACAGCTCAATGATGCCTTTCCCGTCTGGTCAGAAACAGGGCTATGCCAATGGAAATGCGGCGGCACGAGGACGCGTTCTTACCTGCGTGGTACTGGCAGCTCTCGTACCCGTTCTCCTCCTCGACAAAGACGCAGTCACATTGCACACATATCCGTGGATCGCCTGCTTTCTTCTTGCGTTTCTTTGGATTCGACTCCGTTGGGCTCCGGACCTCATCGCCGACGGCTGGCGTTCCAGCGCCGTTACCAGCGCCCTGTGCCGCATCCGCCTCGAACTGCAGAAGTCGCTCATAGTAACGCAGGGCTCTTGCCTCTACCCGCTCGTCGTCGCACAAAGCCAGTAGTATTGCCCTCGCCAGAGGCTCTGGGGCCTGTGCCAGGTCGTCCAGGTCGGGAGCTGCCCACGTGGCCGACGTCATGACGGGTGGCTGCGCTCGTCCGTATTTCCCCTAGGTCTCGCACTGCCAGAGGTAGTATGTTTTGAGATTTTCTTTTTGCTAACAGTCCGACACGGCTACGCAATTGAAGGTTCAGGGTCTCTTTGTTTTCCCCGATATATATGTCAACGTCTGGCCGCGGCCTCGGTGACCATTCTGGTCATCTCAGGTATGGTTTTGAGTGGTCGAGTCAGGGACGCGTCGACAAGTGATGGCCGACCATGAACGCGGGGTCGTCGACAAAGGGGTGCGAATGGCGGGGAAAGATATCAACATCGAGCGCGGACGCCGCATCGAAAGACAAGGGAAAGAAAGAAAAAAACTTGGAAAACCTCGCTGGCATTGGAACCACCCGCTGAATGACCTCACGACAGATTTCTGCGGGGCCAACCGGCGGATGTTCCTGTCGGTTCAGCGAGTGAAGAGTGCAGTTGGTGAGGAACCGTCAATCGCGTCGTTCTCATCACCAGTGCCAGTGATTGATCGCCCCGTTTTTGGACCCCTTGCATCACGGACACGACACTTCGGGGATACGGGGCCATTGGGCAGCCCAAAGAGGGGACCCAGGGCCCATTTGAGAGCCTCCTGAACTCACCCGTCAGGTAGGGCATCAGCACAGGTTCGCGCTGGACGAGGCGCTGGCCGTGCCGTCGAGCGACAGCCGGCACTATTCACCATAACGGCGTGATCATCAGCTTCGACAAGCCGGAGGCTGGCAACCTCCTCGAATACCACTGGCTTCTTCGTCGCATCTTCAAAGCCATGTGCACCTACGACACGCCACTCACCCTACCGACGGGCGCTATTGGATGCAGGTCACACACACAACGCCAGACGCAGGGGAAAAGTGACGGAATTAGGGTCCAAAGCTCACGCTTCGATGCACCAGCGTGAAGGTCGATGTCTCCCCCGCTGGTCGCCCCTCTTGCTTCCGCCAGCGCTGACCATTGCAATCAATAGCAGGCATTGAACTGCCCATTGCGGTACCCAGTTCAGCATGGAACCATGCAAGACGTGAGCTGTGAGCTGCAGTCTGCTGTGGCACACATCTCTTGGTCCCACTGTCCCCTCCCGGCTAGGAGGCAGGCTATTCAAGGCTCGGTTCGTCGTCACCGAGTCGATTCTTTCCTCATGACAATAATCCGGCATCGCCCAAGCCTGCGCAGGTGCCCTCGTTCTCATGCCGTCGGTACTAGGCAGGGTGTCAAGCGCCTCTGACAGCCCATGATCTGTTACAAGCGGCATTGAGGGCAAATGACGATCAAGGTTCACACCTGCCGCGAAGCAGATCGGCGGTGGAGCAACCCATTTCGCCAACGCTGTAATAGAACACGGGCGGTGGCTAGAGGACGACGCCGTGACTTCTGTACACATTGCCGCTCATGACGGCGCGGCATGATCCAGGTGCAGCCGCTTGGAGAAGAAAGAGCAAGCGCTCTTAGCTTGAAGCGAGGACGGCATCGTTACACGGAGCAGCCTCGTTGCGGCTCCCGAGACAATCGTTCTCACCGGTCGACGGAGGGGATGCAAAAGGGCAAGGCAGCCGATCCCGCTACCCTGACATCCATGCCAACTGCCAGATCATCGCCTATCTCCAGTACCGGCTGCCCACTTCAGCCTCCGGTGGCAACTGTGCCGCCAGCCACAAGCCTCTCGCAGCTCGAATAGCACACCAGCTCTATCGCCGAACTGCACCTACTGCTCGTGAGCGGCTCCGCTTCCCCGGTTTGAGCCATGCAGCCAGAAAGAAGAGGACGCTTATCCAGCCAACTTGCCAGCTAGCTGTACAATCTGAAACTTGTTTTGCCACCGTGAACTTTCGTGATGTAGTTTGCGTGAACTAATATGCACGGCGAGTTGGAGGTAGATGGCGCACGCGGAGTGACACGTATCTCTGCGAATGCCTCCTCCTGAGATGCCACTCATTGCAAGCGATTATCTTCGATGACTGTTTCATGACTTCACGGAGGGGCTGAAGGGGGGGAGAGTGAGGCTTCCTAGGTGATGGAGGGTTGCTGGGGCGCCCCCTGGCAGACGCTGATGGCAAGAACTGGTTCCGTTGGAGAGCGAGCGGTCTGCCTTTCATCGAGAAACCCCGGCGGCTACGGCTGTCGCAGCCCACAATCGCCCTGCGAGCTCGTGAGTTTCGCGGCGTTTCGGCATTCCAGCACAGATGGTGCGGGCGGGTGGGAAATTTTTTGACGCGAGGTTATGGGAGTAGCCAACGGTCCACGGGAGGAGCACATCGTAGCTGGGTTGGAGGACGGTAGGGTGGTCGCAACCCAACGCGACGGTGGGGGGTGGAGCATCAACACGCCAGCTGCACGGGCATGACTTGCGTTGACGGGGTGGGCAGAGCGGTTCTCGAGCAACCATGTGAGGCGGACACGGCGGATGGTGGCTAGCAAAGCAGCCCAGTCCTTGTCACGTCGGCAACGAATGCGTAAGAACGAGATCCACGGCACAACGATCGGGGGCTCGATTCATCAACCAAAGCGACAATGCAGATTCCGAGTCTGCGATATCCATGGCATGGTCACGATGGGACTCCGGCCGACGGAAAAATGCAGGCGCAATGCTTATTGACCGATCTGCGGGTTTCTGCAGCGGCAAGCACCGAGCGGTGTGCGTGGGGGGTTGGGGGAGAAAATGCGAAAGGCAAACAGCATGATGGCCATGGGATCACGGAAGGGGAGTGGGAGGGAAGGTAGGGTGTCGGCAGCAAAGGGAAGAGAGAGCAATCGGAAGGAACGCGGGTTGAGCGAAAGGTGTGGATGAAGCTATCGTGAAGGTGGGATAGTAGGGAGACTGGATGAGGGTGTGAGGAAGTGAGACGAGATGGCGGTGAGAAGGGCAGTGCATGTCTATGCGCCACCTTGGCTCTGGAGCTCGCGGGGGGAAAATGGCTTTCTTAGCTCGGAGCATCGTCGTCGTCAGACAGCGCCCGTTGAGGGGCAGCAACACACCTTGGTTGGGACATGAGCAACCCTGTCTTCCAGCGAGCTTGCTGCATGCTTCGTCCCATGCCATCCATGTTGGTGCTGGTCTCTCATCCTGTGCGACATGACGGGTGATGGCGCTGCATCTTCATGGCGTTTTGTCGGAATTCGCTTTCTTGTCCGATGGCAGCATGCAGCGACCGGCAGGAAATAGACTGGCTGGACTGAACAGTCGAACTGAATGCGGAGGGTGGGAGGGGCAATGCAATCTCACGACGGTCATCAGGCCTCGACGAGGCATGGTGTTGAGGGGGGGATCCTCCCCCCTTGGTTAGGTAAAAGCACCATTGTGGAGGGTAGGAGCAATGTTTTCATCTCCCACGCCCGCGATAGGAAACGTTTGCCAGTCAGTTGATGCTCTTGTTTTTTTTTTTTCTCTTCACGATAACTTCACCCACACCGGGGCAGCGCGAGAAGGACTGGGGGGCGATTACTGGAGAGGCAGTATGGGGTGGACGATGACACCAAGAACCAGGGCTTACGAGGAGCATGGACCAGCTGTGGCGTGCGACTGGCCAGGGGGCAACCCAGCGCTACGCCGCTACCGCTCGCTGGCAGCAGCCGATTTCACCAGGTCCTTGCCTGCCCTTTGCCTGCCTCGTTCCCTCGACAAGCTTAGCGGCAGTCGCAACCTGGGCAGCATGTTACCGAAAGGGTAGGGACGATGGGGAAAACAGATGTCCGGTGGTGCGCGAGGAGCCGGGGGGGCAGTTGGCTAGATGCACTCGCCCGCAAGCCTGGACCGTCGTGGAATGGCGCTAGAGCAGCCGCAGAGGCGGGTGCGGTGCTTGTGCTCGCTCTTTCCTGCTAGATTGGACCGTCCGATGTCGTCCACGGCAGGCGCAACCTGGCATGGGCCCCGTAACCGCCATGTCCCGGCCCTCCCAGAATGTCACGATGCCCGCATCCCACCCCAGAGGAGCAAGCTCATCTCCTATTGCTGTCACTATTATGGTGTTTACATCGACTCCCGTGCCTGCCTACACACCTCCCTCCCCTTCCCTCCCCTCCTGCTACTCCGCCTCGGGTGTCGATGTTGCCATCTCACGATGATGTGCTCCATCCCTCCTACTCGTAGCCGACGTGGCATGGACGGGAGACCAGCGTGTGAGTGGGAGGGGGGAGGGCAGATATTTCCCTACCTACAACTAGCTGACCGGGGCCTGCCATCCTTCTTGGCTTTCCGTCCTTTTCTTGCTCTGCTCTTCCCGCAAAGGCATTCTTCTTCGTCGACACTTTTACCCAGTTGCGTGTTCTGAGCCAGATTGTGCGTCGTG